ACCCTTCTGCGGTCCTGTACGTCCAGTGCCAGGGCCAGTCTCATACATTGCGCACGATGCTTCCTGTGGCATTATCGAGACTTGCCAAAAGTGCAGGCAACACAGAAAATTGGATGACAGTGTGACGGCCCGATCGGGACTCAGAGCGGAAGAGGAGCCTGCGGTCCAACCCGTGTGCGCATCTTGCTTCGGATGCGCGATACGAAGAAAAACCGCACGTCCCTCGTAGCGAACATCTTTACGTATGACTCGGATACGTAGTGTTCGCTAAACGAAGCTTTCCAACAACACTTCGGCCAACACGTCCGTCCGGGTTGCCATTATTGTACAAAGCGGCCTATATCATGCCTATATCAGGTGAAGGACCCAGAGCCAGGGTTACCGAGATCAACTACACTAGAGGACAGCGTAACTCCTGTCGCGAGGAGATATCAGGGGCTGTTGAACTGGATTCCCGCATCCAATCAAGCGAAAAACAAGACCCAAGGAGTCGGCCCAAGGCTTCCACTGAACAAGGTAGCCGCATGAGAAGTTTTCCCTTGTGACTGCGGACCGACGCGAGGGCCCATGCGATGCAGCTAGTGGGGACCGAACGATCCTCTTTTTTTCCAGTCTCCGTCTTGTGGACGGACCCTTGGGACCCTCTTCGTTAGCCCGGTTCCTCTTGTCCCCATCCATCGATCACTCCAATCCCCTCCTTGGCTTCGTTCGCTCCGCTTCCCCTCCGTTTCTTCGTTCGAGCTCAGCTGACTTGCGACTCGCTTCGTAGCGAAAACGGAACAAATCTACCAGTAACGTAAATACATACGCTAACGATCATCATACGACGAATATTTCACGCTTTTCTTGCTCGAATCACATCGCACACGGTAGGTACGTACCGAGCCACAAACTCTTCACAGCCTCCCCGCGGACCCGAGGACCCATCATCGGGCGGGCAGTACCGCAGTTCCCAGATTGCTGGAAACGCCATATGCTAATTGACAGAGACAAGACCACCTGATCCGCCATGGTTGCTGTACGCGAGATGTCGGCGTTCGCAACTCATCACATCAGTTCACAACACCATTCTTAGCTCTGGGAAAACGAAAGCCGATCAAGCCAAGATCCTCTCGCTCACTATGTTAACATGATAGCACAAAATATATAGTACACATAGCTCACTGCGGCGGGCTCCCAAAGTTAGCAAATCAACAGACAATTGCTCACACAGAGGTCGCTCTTCGAGCTCACTTGTACATGTCACCACCAACTCTCCCACCTCACCAACGAGATTGACCCAGCTACGTTAAAGCATTCCGAGAGCTGTAGGGCGGTGGGTGCAGGATCATGAAATAAAGCCCACCCTCTTGGGGTAAGCACTACTGATCCTCGTCTCAACCCCGGTCCATTGCACGCTGCTGATATTTCCATCTTACTAATTGTGGTAGTATTTGGACGCATCTGGCGACTTGCATGGATCTAACTGACTTGCTAAGCGTGCTTAGTGAATCCCATTTGTCGGTTCTGTTGGTTTCATTGCCGCTCCCGGCGCCGGGAAGAGGAAGGGGTTCGTCCTCTTTTTTTTCTTCTTCGGCTTCTCTTCCATCTGACCTCTCGTTGGCTGAATCCCAAGTTCAATGTAAGAGGTTACCGAGAAACCAACAACCCTCCCCTAGCTCGATTCGTAGTCTTTGTCCGTTTTTACGAACTGCTCCGACGACTTTACTCCACACAAGTTACTAACGGACGGGGCTGGAGGGTAGCATTCCAACCTCAACTTGTCGTTTCCTCCTTCCGTGTGCCGTTCCAACGGGACTTACGAAAGTGGAAATTCTGGAATAATGACTGCCTAGTATTCTGCATGGATCGGATCATAGGTACCGTGTTCCGTGAAGCTCCTGTGTGGTGACAGGATGCGATTTCTTCACTGGCAAAAACGAATTCAGCAAACCGTCCTACACTTTGGCGTGGAGGGTCTTCTGACAGGATCACCAGGAGCCGCCTCTGCGCTTGAACTACTCCGGAAGTATAAAGTACGGAATATTTATGGAGTATGCCCCTGCCAAAAGCTCACTGGCTCGATCTGGCGATGCCTCCATCAGCTACTGCGTGTAAGCAACCGATGTGAGCGCTACAGCGGCGCGTATGCACAACCATCAGTCAAAGGATCTGGAAATCGTGTCAGATCAAACTCTCTTTTCCTGATGAATGAGTGCTAAGCATCTTGCCAGTCTTACCATGTCCCGCAAGGATTGGAGGAAGTCCAATTCGAGAGTACCTTGCAGTTTTCAGGAATTAAAATACTACTCAACCCTCAATGGGTGACTCCTGTCAATAATGTGTGACGGCTCGAGGTCATCGGGACACGTGTGCCTGAAGTTGCACTTTGATCTTGCCGACCCTACATCACGTTTCCCTTATTGGAGATTGGAACCTCGAAGCTTCTCTGCGGTCCTTTTCGCTTTTCTTCTTCGCTTTGGTTGCGACTGGCTGGGGGGCTGGGGGCCCTTTGGACCCAGGGAAAGAAATCGAACGCGCCCCAACGGTCGACGACGCCGTCAGCGGGCAGCGCACGCCAGCCAGAATTTTGGGCGGAACCGGGTGCGGCGGGCGGGCGGACGGACGGGAGTCAATGCTACCGTACTACCGTATTGGGACCACGCTAGTAAAGCTAGTGTTCACGGTTCCCTATAGGCGGTTAAATTGGTGAAAATGGTCAAAAGTTGTGTTACGTCTTGCGCGGCCGCTCAAAGGGGTAGTATTGTACACTTCGTTTACTATTAGAAAAGATGAACTAACAAGCGAGTGGTGAATTCACCTAGCCCTATTATACAAGCTTACTAACCTTATGGCCCGTGCATCTATATAGAAAATTAATCTAACCTACAAGAATAAAAATTTGATATAGTTATTATAATATGTATTCGTACGTAGTTATTTTAAATCTTCAGTTAGAATCTTAAACAGTATAAAATACTATAAAAGATACGTAACAATTTAGTAAATTGAATTCTTATCGTCCTACTTATTACCAATAATACTATTCACTTAAGTAATTATTTCCAATTACTCTTTAAATATTTATTATATTTTCTCTACTTGAGTGATGGGCCCC